GTCATGGCGGGCAGCCGGTGCCACGTTAACCACTGCGCCACTCTGGACCGCTCCCCCTGCGAGGTGACACTCAATTATGGATGACCATCATTAGAAACCAGAGCCGCCGGAACACAGGCTCGCCCAGACTGACACACACACAAACACTGTGATGGGCATGGCGATTATTCCCAGAGACACCCAAGACTATTGAAGTGCTAATGGGGTAACACCATCCATTTCATTACATAACCACTGCACCTGTAACACCTGTGGCCTCCAGGTGACCAGCAGCATGCATTTTCCATATCTGTATCATTATTAGCTAATTGAAATCAGTGTCAAATTGCTAATGTCTGTACTTTTGGTGGATTGGCTGTTTGGGGAGAAAAGTGTTGTCACATTGGGTCCGAGTCAGATCAACCCTACCCACGCCATCTTCCTGCCTCGTCCGTCTTTCAGCCCCACGTTGCGCAGGCGGGGCAGTTGGGCAGAGGTGGACGTGGATGTTGTCTCCATGGTACTCAGTTGGTCTTTGTCTGTCTTTGTGGGGTGTGCGTCCGCCTCCAGGAGCATTCTGGGAGAGATGAGGAATAAAATGTCTACAGCTTCTCTAGATGCTCGTTGATGCTCAGGTGATGGGAGTGGTCATCCTGGTGGCGGTTGTTGTGGAAGCAGTCTGACCCAGGGTCTGCCGCCCCGTCCGATTGAGTTGTCCTGAAATTATGATGGTATCTGGAACTTGATGTTGGACGCAGCTGCATATTCGTCCTTGTGTCTCGGCTATCATAATCCTTCATTTGTTCTATGAAAAAGTGAACACAAAGCACACAACTCTCATCAGTCATTAAAGTTTGAGAAACCGGCTCGAGATACACTTTTTGTTATATTCCATGGAATGCTATTAACATCCTGATAGCAATGAATATCTTAAGTGCTTTGACAAAAAATCCATAACAACATTTCATCTGTGGAAGCCGTAGTACTGTAAAAAGCATGACCAATCATTTTAGCCGGCCCGGCTAAAATAACTGGATGGCCTACCTGCCTGTCAGCCTTCCGTGTTGGAGGAGGGGCTCTGTAAGGAAGTAGCAGATTTCTTCCGGCTGTGTATTTTCAAATTCTAGCGCACTCGAGCTGGTTTCTCCAAAATTACCTACCCCACCTTTAACACAGGGATTAAGCTGCAATAACAACGGGGCCATCAGATGACGTTCATACATACACACAAAAAGAAGGTTTCAGCTTTCACTTTAATATATGGCTATGTCAGTTTTCTCCATCCACATCTCTATTATCTCTAGTCATTTTAAGCCTGACAATGACTAAATGATCACTGGATAGATTGCCCAGACATTTTATACAGACATAGTGTAGCCTACATGTCTTGCTCAGAATTCATTCCGTTCAATTTGATAATCGCAAAACCTTTCATCTAACGCCACCATCAAGTAACTTTTTTCAAGTGGTTGAATACCTTGGATTATGAATACAAATAATTAAATACTTGCCAAAGTAGCAGTACTCTGTGTTTAGTGCTAACTAGCAATTGTTATAATGCTATAATGCTAAACTAAGATGGTACTGATAAACAGCGAATGTTGATCTTGTATAGAAAGTCAGTTTGACACAAAATCATGGGACAATCAGCCACTAGCAGCTAAGTATTGGTTTAGGAGTGTTCACTTAAAACAACAATGAGGCTAACATCTTTAGCATTAGCTATATTAGCATAGTTGTTGCTAATGTCTGTACTTTTGGTGGATTGGCTGTTTGGGGAGAAAAGTGTTGTCACATAAATGACAACACTTTCTCTCTGAACACAGCTTCCTGCTGTGTGAATACAACATCAAGGGGTGTACAGCAAGTGCACATACATACTTTTGAAAGAAGAACGTTGATTTACAATCCCATGTAAAGACAGAGAAAGTCTGTGTGTTCCCAGGCCTTTCTAATGAGTAACTAACTAAATCCCAAAATGACAAACATCAGAGGAAGCAGCGGACATGTCCAGGCATGTTAGTTTCTTTAACAAAGCCAAACCAATTTAAACACACAGATGCATAACTACCCTCTATTCCACAACTGTCTGTATCTATAGCTTCTCACCAAACGGGGCATGACCGGCTGAAACTTTAATGCAACTACAACTACATTCTTACGCAATCAAAACTGAGGGAGGAAGAAACTGAGCCGACTTACGTGGAGGGAAGATGTCAGCATAGCCAAAGGAGAGAGGTGAGAAAGGATCTTAGAATGAAAGAGTAGAAAATAGGTGGAGAAGTGTGCTGGGGTAAATAGTGATGCTGTTACAAGTTATTGAATCATCTTTTTCAATACATTTGAGTTTGTATAAGAAAACTGATTCAGGCTTCATCCTCAAAAGAACAATGTTATAGTGCTGAAGATTTCAAAATGTAAAACGTTATTATGGGGATAAAGTCAACCCAGTACGTATCATATGTCCCTTGTGAATTGTTTCCTCTATAAAGCCAGAAATGGATGGACGGGAAAAGAAAAAGACTCAAAATAAAATGAGTTTTTGAGTCATTTAGGACAAGTACCTGTCTCAGGACTTATGGATAGTTGCGTTAGATAAGCAAATTGGGTCTTCCAGGTCTCTAAATGTGTGACAAGGACTCAAACTCAAGTGTTAGGACTTCCTTTTTGTGGCTTAAGTTTGACTGGAGTGCAAGTCTCAAGCCTTACACTGTTTGAAATCTCTTCGTTTCTAGGACAACCGTATATAATTGGTTGAACTGACTCGCAAACTATGGATAGACTTTCACTTTGCTTTTGGCTCTGATTTGTTGGGGTCTTTCAGAGCGAGGTCAATACACACACGTTCGTGAATCCTTGGTCACTGATTCAAGGAAACATGTTTTCAGAATCAGAAACAGGTTTGAAGGCGCAGACTGAAAACTCATCTCTTTCGACTCCACTTCGAGCGATAGAACTATTAACAAAGCACTTATATACTAATAAAGGACTGGCTTATCTAAAGCCAGTTGAGTAGCACTTGAAATGTTTTTGCTCTATGAAACCTGATGTACTTATATGATTCTGTTTTCTTCAAGTTTTGTATTTTGTTGGTCGAACGCACTTATTGTAAGTCGCTTTGGATAAAAGCGTCAGCTAAATGCAATGTAATGTAATGTAAAAGTCCATTTGATGATACTGTTACAAGATCATGCGCTTCTGGCGGAACAATGGTCCCTGTAGCATGTGTACGCAACATTTCAGCAGCCATGGATACATCCTGATGTGCAACATGCATTATTAATCACTTTTCCATACCATGTTTGTCCAATTCTTACATGCATGCACTATTCATATACAGTAAGAAGTGGTAACAGATTCAGACCAGAACAAATCTCCCAAATATTTTTTAGTGATACACTGCATCTGTATTAGTGCTTGTATTATTTTTTTTAGAGAGCTATACGTCACAGAATTACACAGATATTGCCTAAATTAGTTTTTGGATAAGAACAAGAGCCTTTGTATGTGGCTAGTTGACCATTAACCAGCCATTCTTGTTTAGTGTACTGCCACTGAGCAGTGTGAATGTGTTTGTCTGATACAGTATCAGAGCTTACTGGTTCATATCACGGTTAAGTAGCAAGAAAGGTAACTGAGTGGGGGATGTATCCACCTCAGTGGGTTCAATCTGTCCTCATTGGGCAGACAGAACATGGGCCACACACACACACACACACACACACACACACACACACACACACACACACACACACACACACACACACACACACAACACACACACACACACACACACACACACACACACACACCACACACACACACACACACACACACACACACACGAAGAGTATCAGGTAGCAGATACTCAATTTTTTAGCAGCTACGAAGAGCGTAGGGAAGCAGCAACCAGATTCCTCCACCTCTTTCTGCAGCACATCAGAATATTAATGATCCAGAGAAAGAAGAATGCAGAGACGATGGCGTGTGAGGGCTAAAATACTTGTCACAGATTTGGGGGGGAAGATTGTTCAAGATTAAATTAGTTTTGCAGGAGTATGACGAATCCCTTAGCAATCACATCGATACGCAGTAATCCAGTTTTGTGTAGTGAAAAGCTAAATACATAACAAGTAAAAGATGGAAATTCAAAACTGTTGTTTTACTGTAGTTGGCCTAATAAAGTAAAAACTATTTTATTAAAAAGTGATACAATTTAATGAAACGTTAAAAAATTGTTTCCAAGTTTAGGTAACTGCCATGATTTGACCTTGAAGCTATTTTGGTTTGTGTCCATACCCCAAAACACTATAAGAGTCATCCCAAACAAAGAGTTTTGGTAATACTAATACAATCCTGAATAGATATCCATCATCAGAAATGTTTTAAATGTATCTGAATCAAAGTATTTGATCCATTATAAGCTAGCCTTTTTTTCTAATGCTGCCAATGTCATATTAAATAAAAGGAATTTACCTGACCACAGAGAAATTAATACATAATAGATGCTATGATTAGTTAGTCAGTCAGGACTCATTACCCCCGCTAAGAATGTTTGTTTTCATTTTGGCTTATTGGTCTGATTTTCATTAATTTGTTGGAAGGGTAAAGCATTGGCCAAAGAAGAAACCTTTAAATCTTTGAGCAGATTTGAATCAGGGAGAGGACACACACATTGTGTTTCACTTATGGAAACAATCTTGGTGGAGGTCTGTGCTCTTTGAGTGGCGTTATGTCATTGGTTAAAGAACATATTAACAAATCACTGCAGTTGAATGTTAGCTTGCACTAACACTGTTACATTTGCAGAAATGTTGATTAATGTGCATATGGTAATGAAGCCTGAAAACTGGGAACATTTCTAGTCTGGTTGTCAATATATCATTAAAATATCCAATGTGTGTATGTTTGGTCATATTGTGAGGAAGTTGATATCCCAGTTGAGCATAAAAGGTAGAGAAAGTAAACAAACCCCTGTTTTCAACTTGAGGAACTTTGCAAACAACCAGCAATGAAAACGGTTACAGTAGAATTGATACCTTTTTTACTTTGACTTTCAATGTCAGTACAAAAATGGGTTCAGGAGCAGTGAATACAAATAGATCCATACGTCTACATTAAACATGAAATGGTTTAGACCAGGGGTGTCAAACTCAAGGCCCACTTCATTTTATGTTGCCCGCAAGAACTCTGAAAGAATATAATACGTTTATATGCCGCTTTACAGAAGCACGTTGCCCATAAACGACATGTCCCACAATGCATCTCATTGTGTGACATGCGCACTGAAGAGACTTGCAATTATTTGCAGTAGACTTCTGCTATCAGACGTAGTTAATTACAAAGTTATTACCCTATAATAATCCAAAGCAGGGGCAATAATGTAATACAATACATAATTGTATACATATTATATATTTATATATAGTCTTAAAGTTACAACTGGCCCTTTGAGTTCAACCATAATGCTGATGTTGCCCGTGATGAAATGTAGTTTGACACCCCTGGTTTAGACCAAATAGCTCTACCTAAGCCTTTTAAACAAAGATTAAAGAGCTTAAAGGTAAATGTTTGGCACTGCAGCATATAAAACACTCATACTGTATGTGGTATGTTTGGTTGGGAGTCCTGTTTGTGAGCAAGGCATGAATGGAACAGTGAAGAATTTAGCTTTAGCATATATTTTTAGCTACCATTTACACCTGTTTCTGCTACCCTACCTCTACTCAGTATTTCATAACTTCCATCCCTTATCCATCTTTTCTTTCATTCACCTTTATGTTGCTAGCATTTCAACACAGGTCAGTATTTCTAATCTATTATCTAAACATGTCACTAACCTCAGTACTAACTTCTCTTCTCGCTGCACCATTTCCTGGCCACTATCACTGCCTTTCTATCGCATATCTGTCTCAGTAGTCCATGCTGTTTAGCTGGTTCTTCCTATCCGTCTTCCCCTGAAGGGCTGCAGGGAGCAGTGGCAGGTTCAGGTCTGCCACCCGCCGCTGGAGAGATGATCGTAACTGAACTGAGTTCCTCTTCAGCCCTCCTCCTGCGGTCCCTCTGTCTCCTGCGCCTCCTGCTGCTGGTGACAGATCTTTTCTCTTGTCCCTCTCCTGCCTGAGGCTCTTAATAACCAAAGTATGTTGTCTCTGTGAGGGGAAGGCGGGAGGTTTGGACCCGTTCACCAGAAGTCCTGGGGGTCCGGGTCGGGTCAACCCTACCCACGTCATCTTCCTGCCTCGTCCGTCTTTCAGCCCCACGTTGCGCAGGCGGGGCAGTTGGGCAGAGGTGGACGTGGATGTTGTCTCCATGGTACTCAGTTGGTCTTTGTCTGTCTTTGTGGGGTGTGCGTCCGCCTCCAGGAGCATTCTGGGAGAGATGCCGTTCTTCTCTGAGGAATAAAATGTCTGCAGCTTCTCTAGACGCTCGTTGATGCTCAGGTGATGGGAGTGGTCGTCCTGGTGGCGGTTGTCGTGGAAGCAGTCTGACCCGGGGCCTGCCGCCCCGTCCGATTGAGTTGTCCTGAGCAGGTGTGTGTGTCGAATCGGCCTCGACGTGCTGCCGTCTCTGATTGGCTCGGCCGGTAAAGGGACTTGGCAAGGGGCGGATTCACAGAGTTGCGATGCAGAGGTTTTAGGAGGAGAAAGACGGACAAGTTCCCTGTCCCCGAACACAGAAACTAGAACAAACAAACAAACAAACAAACAGATAGAGCATGTCACACACTGTACCCAGGATATGTGCTGCTTCTATTCTATATTATTCTATAAATACTGACCTTCAGGAAACAGCATCTCTCTCGTGTCTAAGCTGATGGCGATCTCCTCATCAGTGGCCCCGTCCTCTGTGCACAGGGGGCCAGGGGAGGGAAGGCAGGGGGGTATTGAGGGGGAGACAGAGTGAGGAAGCTGGGGTAGGGATGGGGAAGGGGGACGGTTTTCTGCGTCCTCTCGGCGCCCCTTTGATAAGAAGTCCTCAGGCCTCTTCCTGTTGATGTGATATTCTGTCGTCTGTTGGGCTTTCAACGGCTGGCTGGACGGCTTTGAGCTTTTCTCGTTGGTCTGTTCATTCTAAAACAATAAGTGATCAGTTGTTAAAAGGCCCAAGAAAGTTTTGACAAAAGACATCCCATAGTCTTGGAAAGTTGCCTGAAGATTAAGAGTTGAATTGAACTACACTTGTGTGTTTGATTCGATTGTTGATATTGTATGAGCTACCTCTAAGTTGATCTGTAATAAACATCAGTGATTTAGAACATTGTATTAGGCGGCATCTTACTACCAGAACATGGGAGGCAGCTGTAGCTTATTTTCAATCATACATCTATCTCCCCGCTCCGTTAAATACTGACTTGTGCAACAAATAAGAATTCTTCAAAATAATAAATGTTTTCCTCCTGTTTGAGGTACATTTTTGAGAAATTCTACAAGCCTAACTATTTCAAGGATTTTTCTTTGGTAAATGAAATATTTATGAAAAACGATATATTTAGGTTTTCATAGGACCAAAATTGGAGTTTGTTTATTTGTATGTTTATTTAGGATCTCCATTAGCTTTTGCTCTTGACAAAAGCTACTCTTTCTGGGGTTCGACACTTAAAACAATACACCAATAATACAACAATACTCAACACAACAACATTCAAGACAAGTCCTGGGGCCTATACTACGAAGCTGGTTCAACCTAACCTGGATATGTTTGAGTTAGCCGGTTGGCCTAATCCAAAACATACACGCTCTCGCTAAACTGTACTACGACGCTGGTTATCAAGTGGATCGCTCAAGCCAGCCGTGTCCTATCTAGTTAGGTGCGCGTTCACATGGAAGGGGTGGTATCTGGAGCATTCGACCAATCACAAACATGGAGAAGCGCACTGACAGCGCAGCGTCATACTTCCTGAATGAAAAGTGAACTTTAATACTAGTCAAAAATTAAGAAGTTAAACTTTAAACATCCATGACTTAAACACTTTATCCAGGATAAAAGCCACATAGCTGCACCTGCAAGGTGAATACAGCTGGTAAAAGAAAAAGTGTTTGAATGCGTACATTAACAGGTTTATGATATCACTGCCCCGTCTAAAACACGATCTGACTTTAATTAGGCTAGTCTCGAGTGTTTCGTCAACTTAATGTGTTGCTTAAAATAATACTTCTGCATACAGTATATGTGACACTGTGAGTGTTGCACGGCCAGATACGGCTCAGCTGACTCAGATAAGGAGATATATGATACATTATGAAGTGATATGCCGCGGACTGTACTGTTACTTTGATCCGGTTACTTATGTTGTGGCAGATATTTAAGTAAGCTTTCTTAACGCTAATGTTATAATAGTCAGATTGCTCTGAAAATGGAGGTGATATTCTATTAATGTTCACGTTCACACAGTCGGTGATTTTTGCCGGCCGTCTTTCCTGCGACGGCAGCTTTTCTGTATTTCCCTTCTCCTGTAATATGACTTGATCGCTTTAAACTCCGCACACTGAGCTCTGATTGGTCAGCAGGCAGTGCTTTCACTGAGTTGAGCTCTTAGCCTGCAACCTAACCTGGTCCCGACCAGGTTAGCCGCTAAGCATAAGTTACCATGGAGATCTAGCCTGCTAAAAAGAGAACCAGCTTCGTAGGACCGGAAAGCCGGAGTTTTCCCTGAATTTAGCCGGCTAAGCGAAAATCCTGCTTCGTAGTATACCCCCCTGACATCATTAACAACATCACCAACAATCTCCAACATCATCAACAATCTCATCCACTTTCAACAACAAACTCAGCCAAGGATGAGTGCACAAGACACCCACCAGTACAAAGCATAAAATAAGATTCAATTAGGGTTAACAATTCACAAGGGGTACATGCTCATTAGTAGATGGCACTTCAATCTCTTCTTGAAAGAGGCTCTGGACTCTATTTCAGCAAAGTAGTTTGGCAATGAGTTCCATTCCTTTATAATCATAGAAGATTTCAGAAGATGTGTCCTGGGTTTAGGTGCCAGTAGATGGCCTGATGTCGTTTGTCTATTCTTATGGTCATGCTCGTCTCTTGTTTAAACTATTTGATCATAAAAATAGAGCTAGTCTGGCAGCCTTGTTTTGAGCTATTTGTAATTTCTGTATATGTGTTTTTGCTGCTGATGACCATGACCAGTTTGTGCCACAAACATAGAAAGGGAGGCCAGAAATTATTTAGAGAAGGAATTATAATATCTCTATTTCAAACACAAAATACCACTTTACTTTTTAACTTTGGTCTCCGTACACGCTTGTATACTTTTTCCATGTTTTTATATTCTATTTTAGTTTTTTTATATGCTAATAATTAGTTTACTATAAACCAACCAACCAAATGTGAACAGGTGTTTATTTGACTACTTTCTACTTTTGGGATTGTTATTGGAAATCCTTATCCTTTAATAGAATAATATCACATCAATATAGTATATCTATAAATGATCATTGCATATATTTCAATGACATTACCTGAGTCTTTGAGTCAGCGTTATGCCTCTCTCTCCATGTATTCTTGCTTGGAAGACTCCAGTCATTATTCTCTAGTTTCTGAAAATCAATCCTTTTAAGCTGTTAAAACTTCACAACATCTTTCTTATTATTTAATGTTTATGCATATAATTTAAAAAAATGTCACCTTGGCCTTTGTTCCCTTCTGGCTCCTGCTGAGCTTGTGGAGCAGCAGGTGATAGGAGGCCATGATGGCAGAGGGTCTGTTGATGGTGAGTGTGTGTATGATTTCAGAGAGGGAGTAGCCCAGCGTGTCCGTCATGTATCCCAGCACAGAGGAGTTAAGATCCTCTGGACCCAACCTGGGAAATAACAAGAGAGGCGGATGGAAAAACCGTGACAAACATAAAATGTGAAGAGTGAAGCAGAGAGAGAAATGTGATAGTCATTAAGGGTTTGTTGGTTCTGAAAAGTACGAGCAGTAACTGAAGGATTTGGTGTTGACAATTTTCAAATGTGAGCAGAACAGAGCAGCGCTTCATTCATGTGGATTCAAGAAGATGTTATTGCCAAGAGGAGCGATACATGATTGCATTTCCACACTGCGTAAAGTGATAAAAGCATTTTAGTCATGCTCTAACACACGAAGCTGTTACTCTACTGACCACAAAAACGTTCACTTTGTTCGAAAAATTGCAGTGATTTCCCCCTCTGTTTCCCACATTGTAATGTTTGCTGCAGAACAGTCTTACTTTGCCCTCATGTTGCAAACAGATATACTATAGCAAATCGGAAAGTATAAAAGGGATTAACATACTTTTTTTTTAGGAATATGAAAGTCAAACATTACCTATTTTCTAATATTTAGATGGGTTTAAAAAATAGGATATAGATTTAGAATATAAAAAGGTAGATTTTGAAGTCCGAGACTAGATACCTGTTTTTATGAGTGAGTGTGTGTAGTGGTTTCTTGGCGTATCCCTCGTTGATCCACCTCTCCTCCATCGCAGCTCTGACACTGGGTCTCTTCGCTGGGTCTGGCTCCAGGAGAGACAACACAAACGCCACTGCACCTGAATCAGGGGCAATGATAAAGCAGTGTATTGTTTGTTTACCTAGTTTTCAGGATTTTAAATGAATCTGTTTCAGCATTTAGTTTGGTGCAAGTTCACATTTTCCTGGAAAATACAGAGATGTTTAGCCTCCAGCCTGTAACATGTGCTGTTACAGTTCACTCTTACATCATTTTTGTAATTAAAAAAGGGAAACATGCCGAGCTGTCCAGCATCCAACAGGTTGTGGAGACCAGAAACCAAGCTCAAAGTAGGTTCACTTACATTCAACAGGTTTCATTTCAGATTATAAAGCTATTATCATCGACCCTAACTAGCATAAATAACCATGTAATTACAAAGTTAACAGTTCTTAGCATTTACCCTGGGTTTCTTACATGAGCATCATTCAGTCAAATCTGCATAATAACAGTATTTTAGGCTCAAACGCCTGGAATAGCTTCTGCTAAAGGAACTTAAAATAATGAAGTGATTCCCTATAGTATCTGTAAGGGAAACATCTGTGTAGCAGCTATGCAGTGGGAGTCACCGACTCAGGAAAGAGACACGGGAAGAGCAGGAGCTTTGATGTCAAACACTGATGGTTTATTTGGAGCTTCGGCCGGAGAATTCACATCACAAGTCACAGCAGCCACGATCTGACTGCACGGTAGAGTTGCCACGTCAATTCTAAAGAACTCTACCCCAGACCCATGTATTTAGCTAGTTCCGAGAGCATCATCAACATGCTGCATAACAAGATAAAATCATAACACCTCTATCAGCTGACGTCAACAGGCAGGAACATAGAATCATAACACCTCTATCAGCTGACACCAACAGGCAGGAACAGGGAGACAGAACACTGAGAGCACAGCAGCCAAGGTTACGAGGTGCGTGTGCACAGTCAGGACAGTTTGAACTGATAAACTGGGTCAAAGTTATGGACCTTGGAAAATATTCCCCAACAGTATTCACCAACTCACTTACGCCCATGTGTCCTGCTCGTCGGAAGCAGTAGTGGGCTAAAGAGCCCTATTTCATTCATACTTAAGTTGTGTATTTTCCAGCCTGGCCAGAAGGGACCCACCTTACTTAAAGAGCCAATGTTTCTGACTGATGTCACTCATTATCACTTAAACTGTATCAGAGACACCAGAGAGGTAGGATTTCCCTTCAGCACAACCAATTCAAGCTGTCAGCCTGGGACATGGAGCTGTCCTGTGACAGCCAAGCGACGCCGGTAGTTTGACTCCAGATGGGGATTCCTGATAAACTCCACTATTTGGAGGTGCAGGTTGATGGCCTCATTCACTGAGCCAAGAATGCTCCCATCACTTTGCTATCAGCTGTCTCAGTTCTGTTCAACTCAGTTTGTTTGAACTGATAGGATCTAGTTAAGTACTAGTATGTTGTTGCTCTTAAACTGGGTATAATAGTTACTGAACACACTTATGCCCCGGCCACACGAGGACGAAAACGGTCGTTTGCGTTACTGTTTAGTGTCATATAGACCGTTCGGCCACACGAGGACGACCGAATACGGCACTAAACGACTGCGGAAACGATAACGGGTCCCAAGGTGGATAGAACGGCATACGCAACGCTCTGGGGGGTCCAACGGCTCCGTGTGTACGCCCTATACGATCATTTTCTGATAATGATGAGGCAATAGCCCCGCCTCTCCCCACCTCTGCTGCTCACCCCCGCGTCAAAGTAAACTGCACACTGAATTCAGATTATTTATCTTTCTCTCGATATGGACATAAACGCGAGTGAAGTCTAATCTGACAGGACGGAGACACCTCTCAAACTACCTAAACTAGTTATAAATATGTTTATTTTTACTGTCGGCCGGGTCACTCATTACTGGATCAGCTGCTGCATGAAACAGACACTGGCGCTGTCCGAAGAGAGGCTCCGAGAGGCTCCCTGTATTTTATTATTATATTATATAGAGTCGTTATTCATTTGTTTTAAAGCTCAATAAATAACAAAGAAGACCTTTGACCGGCACTTTTATAATTTTGTCGGAAGGTTTAAACTTTAATACACGTTGACTGGCGAAAAACTCTGCCCGGTTCCCTCGGTCCCCACCGCGGAGAATAAACAGAAGGGCAACCATGACAACCATGCTTCTTCGCTGCTTTTGTGGAGGAAGTTACAGCGCCACGTACAGGCTCGGCATATGTACTGCAGCTTCTCCAGCGGTTGGAGCTAAACGGAGCTGTCTCGTGTGGACAGACACTATCCGGATGACTATTGCGTGTGGACGGAAGGTTTTTTGCGATTGCGTTTGCGTTAATCCTATGCATTTAGCCGTTTTCGTCCTCGTGTGGCCGGGGCATTAGTAAGCACTTTGAATTGCCTTGTGTTGAAAAGTGCTATATAAATCAACTTGCCTTGCCATAGTTTGTCTGCATTCATACAAATAAAAAAAACTGGTTAAAGAAAACTTATAGTAGAAAATATATATTTTTGAAATCTCCAAAAAAGAAAAAAAAGACCTGTGGCAGCGATACAGCAACTAATCCGATCTTGTCACAGTTTCAGAGCTTTAGAGCTGTGCCGGTTTTCCCCACAGTAACAGGAGCTATGTTTGTTTGCGGTGACATGGCGCCATGACACAGTGTAATGGAGTGACTATGTGTGAGAGAGACAGAGAAACAGAGACAAGTGGAAGAAGGTAGAAATAACTGAAACATTTTTTCCATCCGATTCTCCGTGTCATGACAGGTCTGTGGTCTGTGGAGAGAAGACTGTTTTATGTTCGCAAAGAGTAATTTACAAAAGCTCAAGTGCTGACCGTGTAACGGAGTGAGACGCATCCAAATGGAAATCCAATCAATTTAGAGAACATCTCTCATTTAGTCTTTGAAATTAGGGAAATATATTTTTGTTAATTTAACCACATTATGACCATGTCCATATTTAAAAGTACTTCTCTGTAGTTTAGTTTTGAATAATGTCATTCTGGAAATCAATTCATGTAATTATATTTATCCAATTGAATTCACTGGCTATGGTATCAAGGTATAACAAATCCTAATGAGTTGAAAAAGATATTAAAAAAAATATATGAACAAATAATTTGAATACTCTCTTAAAATATTAAGTCATAAATGCAAATGAAACTCTCAGATGGTCATATATTTCTAAAATCTTTCTTTTAAATGTACCACTTTATTCTCAGAGACTTTGTTAACGTTTTTTTCTTAAATGTATAGAAATTCAGATTTATTTTCTGAATATTACCACCTTCCCCAGTTCAAAATACATATTTTTTTATAAAATGATGAATAATTCTAATTATTAATATAGCAAATAATAACAATGTCCTTAACCAACCGTTATACATTTGCAAACAGAAAGACTTGGTGTGTATACAATCTTTCTTTCAATGAAGAAGTGCACTCAGGTGAAGAGTGGTGGTACCTTTGCTGACGTCACTGGGGATGCTGCTGATCTCTCCGTTGACCATCTTCTGGTGCAGCTGCTTGATGTTAAAAGGCTCAACAGTGAAGGGCAGAGTCCCGGTCAGCATGGCAAACATACTCACACCTCTGCACACGAGAACAATTGGAAAAAACAAGGACACGTTTACAAAATGCATACACTGAAATGCATTTCTTTCAAACAGCAAGTACAGTACTTCTACACTTGAAAGCAGGCCATCTTACACACCGAGACTTTGTCACTTACACGGACCAGACGTCCACTTTGGGTCCATACTTCCTGTGAGCCAGCAGCTCAGGGGCCGCGTAGGCAGGACTTCCACACTGCGTGTTGAGGAGCTCCAGAGAAAGGGATTCAGTCTTCAGAGAATTACTCAGGCCAAAGTCTGCATGAAACATCATCATTTTAACAGATGCACTAGATGGCTAATACACAGTCAACCATGCTTGTTTGTCCAACACTTTGCATCAGTATACATACCAACGATCTTTATGTTGTTATGTTCGTCCAGCAGGAAGTTTTCAATCTTTAAATCTCTGCAGAAGAAAAGAAAAGAAAGAGCGGTTTAGTCACAAAGGAAAACTGTGGTTCACTGTAGTATTTTCATGAGCTCCGTCCTTAATCCTACAGGAATTTTTAAGGGTATTTTTCTCCCCTTAAAGTACTTAAAAAGACAGACACTATGGTGGTTGTTCAATTTCAGAATTCTGGCAGTGTGTGTTTGGCCATTTTTTCTGCTGATTTATAGACTTTAAAATGAGATGGGACCTTCACATTTTATGTTTGAAAGGAAATCTCAAGCTAAATAAAATGTGGGTAGGGCTCAGGATGAACAGTTAATTTGGGGGACTCGTTTGTTTTGGACTCCTAAAAACTCAACTCCCACTGACTTACATTTTCAGACCGCTCTTCTTGACATCCTAGCTCTTCCCTACCACAGTCATCTCTCTGTGTTCACCTGGGAAAGTTGCCTCACTCCCCTAAAAAGGACCCCAGCCCCGCCGCCAATCACATAGCCAGCTCTAAAACTCCCAAGCTAAATGAAAATCTGCGGTTAGGAGAGAGAGAGATCCCCTATAAAACACAGCCTGGGAATCAGCCATGTTCCTTTCATCTGCCCTCATCTAACCAACAGACACTCGGGGTCCCGCAGAAATCCAGAAAACACCGCTCACACAACCCGAATAAAGTTCAAAGACAGACGGAGGAAGAAAGAGGGAAAAAGGGCGAAAGCAGACATTGTCATAAAGGAGAAAATGTATGCGGTAAACCTTATGGATGTGGGTGGTAGGAGGTGCATTTAAGTGCAAATTTCCATTTATTTCCAGTTTAATCATCTCTGTGGTGGAGAATGTGAGCGCGAGAGTGTGTGTGTGTGTGTGTGAGAGCATGTGTGTGTGACAGAGAGAGGTGTGATTGAAGGATCGGGAGCGCCATCGTTAAGGGACTTCATTAGAGAGGAAGTCCATGATGTTGTGATGATGTGTGAATCATGGCACCGGCGCAGGATGATGAGGTCATTGCCTGGTAATCACATTCCCACCTTCAGAGGAGCCAAGGTTTTAAACCAAAGCACAGAGCTGAGCGGAGTGTGTGTGGTTGCACTGTGACTATGTTAGTGTGTGTATGTTTGTGCGTGTGTGGGAGTATTGGGTCTCTTACACCTAGACATGCTAAAATGTCACTGAAATATCACTTTCAGCTCCCACATTGCACTGCCATGTGCTGCCTTCCTTGCAGCGTTTCCTCCTTTGTAGGCTGTTAATGCCCTGCAAACTACTTTGTATGTGTGTGGTCATGTGTGTGTGTGCCTCATGATTTGCTGGCTGTAACACTAGCTCAGTAAACATGGTTTGGTCGATTGCATGCCAAAATATGTCCAGACTGTGCTTAAAGGTGGGGTAGGTAAGTTTCAGAAACCGGCTCGAGTGCACTAAAATTTGAAAGTACACAGCTGAAAAGAATCCGCCCCTTCGTTCAGACTTCCTTACAGAGCACCTCCTCCAACACACATGAACGCGCAATACACGCCCAATTACGGCACGCCCAATGAGGACACGAGATACATTTGTGCGTGCACGAGATGGAAGGCTGACAGACAGGGCGGCAATCCAATCCGTTTAGCCGGGCCGGCTAAACGGATTGGATGTGCTTTTTACAGTATTACGGCTTCCACAGATGACATTTTTTTATGGATTTTTTTGTTAAAGCACTTCAGATATTCATTGCTATCGGGATGTTAAGAGCATTCCATGGAATATAACAAAAAGTGTATCTCGAGCCGGTTTCTGAAACTTACCTACCCCACCTTTAAGTTGCTACAAAAGTGAGTTGTTTTTTCCAAGTATTAATTAATGTTACCATTGTTTCAAGAGCATAGCTACCAGCTTCACATGGAAATATAGTAATTTCAAAGATGATGGGACAATGATCCATTCATGTTTCAGCTTAACAATTTAGCTAGTTAGCGTGCTAGCTAATTTAGCCTGCTGTCATGGACGAGGCACACACAACATGTAATACTAAATCAATCTGGTGCACTTTGAGAGCAAAATGAAGAGATCTATGGATACATCTCTCAACACCCATATGAAACAGAACTGTAAACAGATTTTTCTTTATGGATATTTTACAAATCACTTAAACTGTATTCTTGTTTTGTCATATAGTATTTCATAACTGTTTTTCATGTATTCTCTCTGGCTGTCCATCTCATAATGTTCACATATAAACTAGCTGTCAATAGGAATACCATTCAGAATAATTATAATTTCTTGCAAAAATCTGTCACAAAAGAGGTTGCACATTTAAATTCAGGTGTTGTTATGGCAACGTCAGTGGCCAAACAGCCACATTTACTGCTGCAAATACGTTCAGCTGACTTTTTCTCAGAAATACTGTCACATAACATCCATATATTTCAGTGCTAGGTTGCTGCTTAGCTAAGCTAACTATGAAACACTTTAACTGACAGGACTGAGGATCAACTGTACTGTAGCTTCTAGCTTCATGTCGAACAGTAAGTCAACATTACCCAGGGAGCTTTCTTTTAAATCACCAGGTAACGCTAAAAAACATTACATTTAGATTGTATGACTAAGTGTTTATTTAATATCTCTGGCTAGCTATAGCTACTTGCTAACGGTTTAGCTTACCCCCGCGGTTCAAAGTAACGTCAACGTAGCTGTAATTTATGCTTTGCTTACATGTTCGCATAACTTGGAAGTTTACTGACATTTACATATCTTGTTTACCTGGCTCAAGTGGTGGCTCTGGGGTTGTTGTGTGAGCCACCACTTGAGAATTGTCGTCTTTTTTAAGAAAAAATGTTCTTATGTCCATCTTCAAAAACTCTGAGTCCGACTGACAGTTTATTTGAAACATTGTCACAGCTCACAGGATAGGTACCTGTCAGCCAATAAGACAGATGTTTATTTCCATTCAACTCTCTGGTTGGTCTGGTGTCTTGCCTCTGTTGCATTCACTGAAAATAGTCGGAATAGTCTGCAACTGAAATGGAAACTGAGCAATCTGGTGCCACTAAATGTTTTTAAAGCTCGGTTGGATGCTACTCAATCGGAAGCTGTTGGTACCTGTACATGTGGATAGTTATGTAAATTGTAATCCCTGTGATGATGATGTAAGATGTCCTTTTGTTGTTCTGTTAATGTTTTTATGTTTCATGTGGAATCTACTTGAGCAGGTCTCCCTTGTAAATGAGTTCAATGATCTCAATGGGATTTATCTGGATAAATAAAGGTTTGAAATTAAATGAAATTACAATCCTGCCGTCCTCTCTAGTGTCATGATGAGGTTCAAGTAAAGCACGGTTAATGTATTATTATTGACTCAATAATATAATACATGACTTTGAGAGTAGGCAATCTAGGCATATTAACACAATTAATTAAACATACTTATCACGGCGACGGTGTACTGAGATTTTTTTATTTGTTTTTAACATGTTGTGCTAGGGGGCCCCTTAGTAGCTGCAGGGCCCTAAGCGGCCGCTTATGTCGCTTAATGGGTCAGGCTGGCTCTGTACATATTTATTAAATAAAAGACAAAAATAGCAAGTAAAAACAACCTGAAAAGCCAAATATCTTTTACTGGAGATTTGTAATAAGATGCAAATGTAATCTTAAGTAAAATCTACTATACAATAGTAAGTAACATGTACTTACAAAAACTGAGTGTGACAGTAAAGTGTACTTGAGTGCCTTAGTAACAAACACTTCTTAACTGTAAGTAGAAGCTACTCGAAACATATGTTGTTAAATTTACTTAGGTTTTCTTTCCTCGATTTTCCTAAGTAAATCTTAGCTACTCCCCGTTTTTTTCAGTGTACCCTATTCCTAAAGAAGGGAGAACTTTAACCGAAAATTAAACGTTATTCTGTCACAGATTTGGAAAGTGTAGGGCCAAATTTGGACCCCTATATTTTTGTATGGCTAATATACTGTATTTATGTTTTTAGGGTTCTGGTCCGAAGCCCACTATCAAATCATTTATTGGATACGCGCAGCAACTTCAGAGCCTCCAGGAAACCACAGCAAAAAGCATACTTCACAATAAGTGTCCAAATGTTCTTTGAAATCAAGCTTTCTGGTGGAAATAGATTGTGTGTCACCTGTGAACGACGCCGTGTCTGTGCAGGTGATCCACTGCAGAGAGGATCTGACGGGTGTAGCGCCGCACCTCCCTCTCATCCAGCCGCTTCCGCTCACAGATCCTGTCCATCAGGTCTCCTCCAGCACACAGCTCCATGGCCATATAGTAGCTGTTCTCCGTCTCCAGGGTCTTACAAACACACAAGCTATGTTTAACAGTGCCATGTGTAATAATAACATTTATATAACCGCCTACAAATAATATAATCCATGCTAAATTGGCCTACATTCAAGCAGGTGTACGTAATTTAAGACCAAATCATTGCTTTATTAGGACTGTTAAAATCATTCTGAATTTGTGTGTTTTGAGTTTTCTACCTCCAGCAGGACCACGATGTGAGGATGTCGGATCATCTGATGGATCCGAGGTTCTCTCTTCATGTTCTTCAGCACGTACGAGTCCTGCCGCGCTTTCTTCTTGTCGATCACCTTAATGGCCACCTGAACACAAACACTCAAAAGGTTTGTGTTTTTTCTTCAGTCTTTGCTCCTTTAAAAAAAAAAAAAAAAAAGTTGATCTCCAAATGTGGTCATCTACATGTTCATTTGTCAACAGAACCACAGTCCTCTACACCAATTAGATAGATGTTTCAGTAGTTGTAGCTTAGGAGCTCTTTTCAAAGGCCAAAAGCCACCGTTTAACATCTAAATGGAACTTTAACCAATATCACTCCATACATAATTAAAACATAAGCTATATTTAACAAGGTAACAAGCTATCAAGATGAGGAACTGGAGAGAAATTGGTACTTATAACACTTTAGAGTTCGAATGAAGCAAACGGTAAACACAATGTCCTGGGTAACTGAGAAAAAAACGATTTCTAATCAATATATTGCATTGTGAGATAACTAGGAAGTCTAATCCTATCATTTATTGTTCTTAGTAGTGCGAGTTTAAAGGCTTTGGTCATCTTGGCAATGTGTGTTCTCATCCCATATCCATTCAAGATGATGAGTGGAAAAGGCATTTGGACGGGCATTATAATTCCTGAAGGTGATATTGATATTTTGAAAATTATTAAGCTCCTTTGACAAAAGGATTTTACGGACCTTTTATAATTTACAGTAAATTGTTGGTAAAACGACAGGACCTTTCAGTTTATTTCAATTGTATATTCCTTTAATAATGTCTTAACAGTAAATATTTGGTGTTGAAACTAATTTAACTTCAATTTAGATTATAATTCATTATGATTCTAAGGTCTACTTTGTTTGCATTCTTCACCTCCAGATCTTGTATCAGGAGAGGGTAATGAGGGTTAAGAGGAACAAATACCCCCAGAGATGAGTTTGGTCATTACTATGGCAACCAGGTCATGTACATATGAGCCGGGGTCAGGGACTCGGTGACCGGTGAAGGAAAGTTACACATACATTGAATCACCCACAGACACAAAAATGCAAACACACAGACACACACACAACCTGCCTCCACTTGACAATAAGTGCACGTTCATATATTCACAGCCACGGCATCAAATAGATAAATAATAAACAAAAAAATATAAACATTAGCATGGATGTAGTCCCTTTTCATTTTTTTTGACTTGGACATATTCAGGGCAATACTTTTGTATATTTTGTCTAAACAATTTGCATTAGTAACGTAATTATAACTATTACTACTATATATTTTGCAGTTGCTGCATCTATTAGCCATTATGTTTTATAGAAGTCCAGATATATTGAGCAGAAACGGTTCAACTTTGAATCGTCTTAAGCTATGCTGAGCAAATGTTTTGTTCCTGTATATGTAGAAGTAATTACTATGTTTTGTACACATAACAAGAATAGTAATAGGCCACTGCCTTCTACAAACACAAGTGAGTATAATAATCAGTTACAAGTTGTAATCAAAACATTGTATGTGTGTAATCTGGTGCTGGCCATCCCTCTGGTCTGACACATGTCTCCTCACTCTTATTCTCTTACTCAGGGAAGAGAAAGCACAAACCTTTTCCCCCGTGCCAATGTGCAGCCCCTCCATCACTTTGGCAAACGACCCCTTGTTGATCATTTTCCCCACCAGGTAGGATCCCACCCGTTTGGAGTGGGGGAAGCTCCGCAGCAGCTCCCTGGGGACTTTCAGGGAGGGCAGCCGCTCCCGGCCCGGCCCCGCAGCTTCCCACTGGGACGTGTCGCCCCCTCCTTCTGCCACCATGTCCTCCGAAGCGGGCTTTAACGCTGCAGCTGGCATCCCTTACAGGGCCAGGACCCCATGTGGCCCCCTCTCAAGCGCACACAATCAAATCCAAAAACCGGATGGCCCACATTGAACACACATACTAACACACACAGAGAGAATACTGCTAAAAAATCCCTCGTCAGACGCAGGTGCCTTTCCTCGGACGCAGATTGTTCGTCCTTCCACTCTCTGGTAAGTATATCCTTCAGTCCAAACTGTTTGATGAAGACTTGTCTCTTCCTCTTACCTTTTAACGAATGAAGGTGTCTCTTTCTCTTTCAGTCCAACTTTGTTGAATGCAACCCTGGATCTCTCTCCCCCTCTCGCTGCCAGTTAGTGGATGATTAACTGGTGTGTTCTCAGGTCCAGTGATGAGGAAGACATTCTACACCGTAATTACCCCCCTCCTTTGCAAACACTAAAGGTACACACAGATACTCACAGTTACACAGTAACTATTGAAATCCTTCACTTACTTGGGTTCTCCTTTAAATCTAGATTTTATCATTCAGTTTCTCACCAATACACTCAGGTAATTTCCTCCACTGTGAGCACAGATCAGGGTTGTTATATGACGCACTCATGTGTGAGAAGGACCGGGGAGAGGGATAAGTGTCCAGAAAATGAAGACTTTGAATCTTAAACATTTTGGCAGAAGAATATTATTTTTCTGATGATCTTGAAAACAAACAGTTTTGTCATTTTTCATGTGTATAGGGCATTTCACTAAAAAGCATTTTTTGCTCTCTCGCCGAGGGTTGGATGAGAAGATTGAAACCAGTCCTGTATCTGCACACACACAATATGAAGCTACAGCCAGCAGCCGATAGCTTAGCACAAAGACTGGAAACAGCTAGTCTGGCTATGACCAAATCTAACAATTTGGGGCTAAAACTACTTACGGACAAATTGTAGTTTTTATGAATTCAGTTCCGTAAGGATTAATTCAAACAAAACATGTTAATTTGTGAGCTTCTAGCAGGTGAATTTAGTTTAATTTGGAGAAGGCTATGCTCGCGGTGAGTGTGACAAGGCAATGCTAGCTGTTTTTTAGCCGGTTAAAATTCGTCTTGCTTCTATTAAATTAATAGTCCATGTAGCTTCATATTTATTGTATAGACATGAGCGCTATGCATTTTCTTTGCTAACTCTAAATAAGAACTTTTGATAAAAGCATATTTCCCAAAATGTTAAACTATAATTTTCCAATCTGGAATTGCCTCCAAGTTAAATGGCTTTGTAAGCAAGCACATAATGAAAAATAAACTGATAAAAAGATATAGGTGGGAGTGAAGTTAAATGTAATAAGCAACAGAGTGGGGAAAAGAGTTTTAGCACATTCTATTAAAAATAAATCCCAAAATAAAGGATTGCTTTTTACATTTTTCCCTCCACATACTACCTTTACAACTCGACCTTCACTGTTGACCTCAGTAAGGTAGTTTGTCCCTTTGTCTGACCAGGAGAGGTCAAGGTCAACAACATTGTGTGCAGCTAGAAGAGGGTTTCTGAGGATCCCTTATAGAAAGGCAGATAATGGCTGGTTGATAAAATAAAACCTGCCTCAAAGCCTGTAATAGTGTAAGTGTTTTTACTGGAATGTTGAATGTACATGATTATTTTAAGTTCAAACCAAATTTCAGGTGTTCAAGTTCTACTGAGGATATAATCTAATACCAGAGCGACAGATGTGTGTTATTATCAATGGAAAGCAGCAGTGAGGTTTTGTGCTGGTGAGTGATGGGCAGCATTGATGTGTGTCTGCTTTCTGCTACTGTGTGTATTAAAGTCTGTGTGCACACGTCAGGGTCAGATTGCAGTGTGTCACTGCTTGATTCTTCCTCACTCAGCTGATGAAAGGGGGGATAGTGCCTTATATCCGCCATGTAACCCAATATACTCGCACATCTCATAACAACAAAAGCAAGCACACACAACCTTACACAACCTTTAACTGGGCGACTGTAGTAGCCAAGTGAAGCTTCTAGAGTTACCTTATTCTGTTTTAAACATGTTGATACTGTATAACTTGATTTGGAGCGCACACGCAGTTACAGCGGCCATGACAGTTTTCTTCTCTTTTGTGCGCACCGATGCGCCATTAAACTCACTGTAATAACAATCAAAACACTTTGTGGACCGCTTTCCTCCATTAAGGTGACCAAGCCAACATTTTAAAATATTTTTACGAGATACAATCAGCGACATTGACCAACTCAAATTCAACCGGTCTACGCCATAACGGGAATAAAGACACATAAATCTGAAATACACCAACAGTTTTCCAGATTATTCTGAAATGAACCACAAAACACAGAAGCAGTAAACCCTTGGTGGTTTCACGTGAGTCTAATTCAAAATATAACATTCAACCAAATCCCTTAAAAAAAAATCAGTAATTTTCCAACACACATTTTTATCTGAATCTTTCTCCTTCTTTTGTGTGTGTGTGCTAATAAGCCAGGAGCCCTGCACTTCATAAACAGGTCTTAGGGCTCCAGAGTGTGTGTGGGAGGAGGTGTTAACACACCCTCCCTAATGCAGGGGAAGGGTGTCAAGCTGTATCTGGCTCTGTATTGGACGGACACAGAGGAGGGAAGAAAGAAAGTGTGAGAGAGGAAGCGGTGTGCTGCGTCCCGTGGCCGACAAAGCGACGGATCAGGGACAGGAAGTGAGATACGGAGAGAAACCGAGGCTCACAGCTGAAAAACAAATTAATAAGAGTTTTTTTTATATAAGCTTTGCAATGAGTTGCAGAGGCTTTTCTGTGTTTGTGTGTGTCTATGCATGTGTTGTCATTGTTTAGAAAATGTCTTATTCTCACTGCCAGGGACCACAGTCTGTTTGTGGGAGATTTTACATTTGTAATCTAAAAGCATCACAATGTTTGTATGTTTTTAAGATTACGCGTCTTTGTATCTGCACACATGAGCTGCATTTAGATGCCTTGCAGTGTACTTATGCGTGTATACAGTAGGCTATAGTGTGTGTGTGTGTGTGTGTGTGTGTGTGTGTGTGTGTGTGTGTGTGTGTGTGTGTTGCATTGGCGCGGAGGAATGCTGGCTTGCCTGCAGGACTTGGCGACCTTCTCGGCGGTCACATTAAATGAGAAGAGAAACCCCCCCTGCTTCCTGCCTGTAATAAATGGATCCCCAGCAACCATTAAGGCATATTTTAACACCAAATAACTCCCGAAACCACACTAGAACAGACACAGCCGACCCCCACCCTCTCACCATCTCTCACTCACTCTATGTCTTCTACCCTGCTTCTTTCATTTCTCCATCTACCCTTTTTGCTTTTATAAAAAGCTAAATGTTAAACGATCTTTTTGGTGCCGTACTTCACAGTCATACTTTGTAGCCTGTTAGAGTGTTTAATGAGAGTTATAACTCTTCACAGTGAATCAGTAGCATTGAGTCTCTAAAACTGGCTTTTTCTTTCCCTTCTTTAAGTGTTTTTGCTCTGTGGACCATTAAGCCTGTGTTTCATTGGGGATACTATACAGATTGAACTTTTAGCAGCCTCACACAGATCTCACGCAGTACTGAATTCTGGTAAAAAAAAAACTGGTAGTAATCTCTGTAGTGCTCTTTGGACAACCTACTTCAGTTAAAAAACTAAATAATATAGTAGCGGACATGACAGGGAGTAATAAGGAAGAAATTCAGCAAATTCAATGTGTATTAATGCCAAAAATGAGATATAATACATTTATCCATCACAAGTGTATATTCTGCCATTGTTCTCTTGGGGTTTAGTACTAAATATTCCGTGGCCCCGCATTTTCGGGACCCCCTTGAAAACGAGATGGTGCATCTCAAGGGGTTTATCCCAATGAATACAAATTTCTATATTGGTCTGTGGCCCATAAGTTCAGGAATCACTACTGGAATAGGACTGAGTAAAAATAGCTATGAGTGCAGGTCAGACTCTGCCGCTATAAGAACACACTGTTCAAGCCGCAGGAGAAAGTGTCATTGTCCTTAAAAGACTCGAAACTAAAAGTTGCCTAAATGCTATTCCCACATATTGCATATAGTAGGCTACGGTCAAAGACCAAAAAAAAGGGAGGAAAAGGGGCATTCAAAATAATTGGAAGATCATTCACATTAAGGTCTGGGAATACAACCCTAGTCCTAAACCTAGTCCATTCAAGTTTAATGGTTAGGTTTATGATACAAACATACATTAATCAAATAATCCTAAACTATCTACTACTCTGTCGGACACCGTAATCTTCTCTGGTCCCCTCCCCAATCTGATCAATGATGACATGTATAGCCGCATGTCATCATTTCAGTGCTGGTTGTCTTGGTGGTGCCCAGCAAACAATGTGGGCTTCGTAAATAATTGGACAGCCTTCTGGGGAAAACCTGGTCTGATTAAGAGAGATGGCATTCATCCTATACTTTGGAAGGTGCAAATCTAATTTCGGCAAACATTTCAGGGCTTTGTGGACGTAATCCATGACAAACTGGAGTTGAGACCAGGAGGCGGAGTCGCAGTTTTACAAGCTTCTCTGCGCTCTCTCCTAGGCAGTCATCCATAGGAATCCCGAACCCAATAAAATACCCAATATTAGCGGTGTGTGTGTCTGCCCAAGGACAAGTTAAGGTAAAACCTAATAGAGGTGTCATACATAATAACCTAATAAAAGTAGGCTACATGTATCAACTACTACAGTGCAACAAAACAGGAAGATTAAATGTGGTCTCTTAAACATAAGATCTCTAGCATCTAAAGCAATATTGGTAAATGATTTAATATCAGATTATAATATTGATATATGCTGTCTCACTGAAACTTGGTTGAGACATGAAGAATATGTCAGCATAAATGAGGCCACTCCACCCAGCCATATCAATACTCATATAATATTGCCCGAGGCACAGGCCGAGGAGGTGGAGTTGCAGTAATCTTTGACTCAAGTTTACTTATCAATACTAAACCAAAATTAAATTATACCTCCTTTGAAAGTCTCGTTTTTAGTCTTACGCATCCGACCTGGAAAACTTTGCAGCCAATCTTATCTGTTACAGTGTACCGTGCACCAGGTCCTTATTCAGAATTCTTATCAGAATTCTCTGAGTTTTTTATCAACTTTGGTACTTAAAACAGATAAAGTAATTATCGTAGGTGACTTTAATATTCATGTTGACGATGATAAAAATAGCCTTACTGTTGCATTTAACTCTATATTAGATTCTGTTGGTTTTCGTCAGAGTGTAAATAAACCAACCCACTGCTATAATCACACTCTCGACCTTGTTCTGACTTATGGTATTGAAATTGAGTAACTATTAGTCGAACCGCATAATCCTGCTATATCCGACCATTTCTTAGTAACTTTTGAAGTACTGTTACGAGACTACAAAGCATTAGTCAAAAGCTCCTGCAGCAGAAACCTATCTGTTAGTGCTATAGCCAAATTTAAGGAAGAGATTCCACCAATACTTAACTCGATAGCATGTCTGCATGTAAGGGAGGAAACTTATACAAAATGTACACCACCCCAAATTGATCATGTTGTTGATAGTGCTACAGATGCGCTGCAAATAAAATTAGACTCTGTTGCTCCTTTGAAAAAGAAGAAAATAAAACAACATAGATTAGCTCCATGGCATAATGCCGAAACCCGCAAAATAAAGCAAAAGTCGAGACAACTTGAAAGGATATGGCGTTCCACTAAACTTGAAGAATCTCGTTTAATTTGGCATATTACTCTCAATGAATATAAGAAAGCACTGCGTAAAGCGAGAGCAGCCTACTACTCTTCATTAATAGATGAGAATAAGAATAATGCAAGATTTCTTTTCAGCACTGTAGCATGCAGGCTGACAGAGAGCCATAGCTCGATTGAGCCTTCTATTCCCATAGCACTCAGTAGTAATGATTGTATGTGCTTTTTTAACGATAAAATTGTTACTCTTAGAAACAAAATTAATGACCTCTTGCCTTTGACCAGTATAGTGTTATCAACAGCTCCCGGAAACGTAAGTTCTAATATTACACTAGATAGTAAACTAGAATGCTTTTCAGCCATAAGCCTTGAACAATTAAATTAAATGATTCT